AAGCCATAAGTTTTAATTCAAGTTTTAATTGAAAATGTATGTTTTAATTCAAAAATTCACAACACAAACAGAAATCTAGTAGCCGTTGATTTATATTTCTACCTGAGAACTGTTGGAAAAAACTTCTTTCTGGATGACTTTTCTAGATAAAGCTTTCTTCTTTACGGATGGTACGTGCTCCTTTCTGCCATGTTTGCCACTTAAAAATCGATCGTGAGAAATATCGATTATTTCGATAATCGTAGGAAATATATTCCATATTTTACCGTTGGGGCGCTGCAATCGTGCGTTTTGCACGAAATGATACCTTGGAATAGAAAATAAAAATTTCTGGTCAGAAATAAAAGAATCCTGGTAAAAAATGAAATATCAAATTCATAAAATTCATAAGAAATTTTTAAAAAAGAACGAAAATATTCACACACCTGATGAAAAATAGTCAATACTTTAAATTGAGACATGAAAAATTTTATTATATTACATAATAAAAATAATATTTTAACTATTAAATACATACATTCTTAATAAATTATTGTTGAATTCAATATTAAAATTGTTAAGAACTGCAGTGTGATGATAAAGAATCAACAAATAAGTAGAAAATGTTATGATAGAAGTGTGTAAAAACATATAATAAAATATATATTATATATATACATATATAACCGTGTAGTCAGTCAATTACAAGGTTACAATATTTGTACTGCGTAGAACTGAAATTTTGGTACAATAAATAACTGTTAGCATAGTATGTTCTATATAAATATTTATATGCTATTATATCCTTAATTGTTGAACATTATATGTAATAGTTACGTGATTAAATCTTACTTCAGGGGATTAAAAATTATACACTTTTTTGATAATAACAGATCTCAATGAAATGAAGCGAAGAATACAAGTTTTTACTATTAAAATTCACAACACTTCACTTATCTAACTATCACTACCTTCTTTACAGGTGAGGTATATTCCGCCATGTTTCGCGTTTAAAAATCGATCATGAAAAATATCGATTACGTTCAAGAATCGTAGGAAATGTATTACATATTTTATCGTGTAGTGGCGCTGTAATCGTTAAGAATACGCGCGCGTTTCGAACGTCCTAGGTGAAATGTAATAACATTTATAGAAATATTTAAGACGTCCAATCCTTTATATAAGATAAAATAAAAATACAATTTCAATCAATTTTTTCTAATACTTTTAGATAGATATAAGTGATCAAATACATAATAAATTTTTCGTCCCAATTTTTATTCCTGTTCCGAATCGTTATATATTTTTTTATATTTTTATTTTATATTTCATATTACATTCCTATTCTTTTACTGATCAAGTATCACTGTATTCAATCTGATAAATTATTCTCGGAGCAGATGCAACAACACTGTCTATATTTTTTGATTTTCATTAGTAGCATTGTAAAAACTTCCAAAACTCATATCACATAAATCGATATTACAAGATGTGGTACCAAGATTGTAATGGGAACCTAGAATCCCATGAACATGAAACGAAAAAATACATTTCATGTTAAGTCTACTCGTCTGTGATCTGGGCTATCCCTTATTTTTTTTTTTTTCTCATTTTTAAAGCTTTGGAAAGTTCATTTGAGGTTTATTACAGCAATATTTGTACAGTAAACTAGAAAATAAGCGACTCAATTCTCTTGATTTAATAATAGAATTCTTAACGTCCAAAATGCTGGATTTTGGTATTGTTGTGTATCTAATAGGAACTATAGACAACTCTGGCAAATCACTGGGTGATTTTGAGTAGGACCTGAGATGTAGTCCTTGACAGGCAGCAATGGCAAAGAGATTTCTTCTAGGGAAATCTTTGCCCTGTAAGCTATTTTGGCTTTCTTGATTTCTTTGGTAGGAACGACTGCTTTACATACATTATATCTGTAATATTCATAGCATTCAAATCACTAAAATAAGTTGTTGGACAAGCTAAAATTAGTAAGTCTTCTCTTGATGCATCTTTGAGGTAGCAGTAGGATGTTTTGTGATGTTTTCAGCTTGTAGTTTATGTATCCAAGGTAATGATGTAGTAAAAATCTGCAATAAATGTAAAGCAGGAAAAGATTTCAACTTTGACCACTGGATCGACTATTTTGTTGTAACATGGGCTAGAATTGTATGAAAGCAGTGGCTGGGAATCAAAGTTTTTGCAGAATTTAGCCACACGATCTTCTTTCTTACCTGCATAAGAAGTACGCTACTTTTTCTATGGATAGATATAGTAAGTTGTATTATCATAATTTATTTGGATGCATTCAAGTTTGAAATATCTTCAAATTAGATATACATCTGACAAAGTAAACTCAAAATGCTTGTGTATTCTGGATCAGTGCATATTTAAACCCTCTCTAATGAAAGTGATCTGGGATATGATTGCTAAGCAGCTTGAGCGTATGAGAGCGTATGAGCGTTGGAAGAAACATTCTGAATGGGGAAACCCACAGTTTAAGGTTAATTATATTGAGGTTAAGTGCCCCTGTAATCAGAAACATTTAAAGAAGAACAATGACAGATTAGAAATTAACTAAAAACAGATTTTGCGCCCAGTGATACACAAAAAGATACAAAGAAACAGAAAATATTCGTATAAGCACTCGTTAGCATTTTCTGTCCGCGCTGTCTTATTTAGCAATGAAAAATTTTGAAAATCTTTATTAATACATCTTAAGACATAAATGGAACACACAACAAAACTTTTCTTAAATGGACTACACAATTTCAAACCTTTACAAATTATTCCTCTTAATTGAGGTATTTTTGCAATTAATGCAAATTGACCTCGTCTGTGGACACGAGTTGCACTATCTATCGGTAAGTTAGAGATATTATTTTCAAAAAAATTCATTTTTGTATAATTTTATGCTTGAAATAGAGTATAAAAAACCTGGAGATCCATTTAACAAACGAAAATGTGCAATTTAATTCATTAAACCACTTTTTTTCGGAAATGAAAATTTGTCTGTTTTATCATGTTTTCGCGGTAACAAATACTAGCGCCGCGTTGTGGTGAAATAGAGGAACTAACCGCTTTCTACTTATATTGAAGAAAATAATTAATTTTAATTATATAGACCAATAATTTGCTTTTATTACGTATATATTTGGAAGAAAATCATGTTAGTTCGTTTATTAGTTCCCTACCTGAAATACCGACATAGTAAAAAAAAAAAAATCACTGTTTTTTTAGCGCACTCTACGTTTAAACGTAGTGAATTGAACTACATCAAGTAAAACTATCAAAGTTGATCAAATAGTGAATGCGCTAAAAATGTGATTTTTGAAATTCATTACAATTTTATCAAATATTGAAATGTGGAGATAATGCCTTACATACAGTAAATTAAAATTTTAAAATTATTACATATCTCGTCTGTGGTATCAGCTGAAAAATCGAAAGAACTCTTACTTATCATAAGAAGGTAACCATTTTCTTACTTTATAACAAAACATTTGCTTCTAAAATAACAATGATCTAAAAGGGTAATAAAGCAAATAAATCGATATTCCAAACATTTTTATGTACAATAAAAACTATAAGCATAAAATATACTATTTTTTTCAAAGTATTTTACAAAATAGAATCACAGCATACGGAATGGAGTATATAAATTTTTATCATAGATCTTTTTCAGTCTTTTTTTCTTCTTCCAACTTTTCTTGTTCTTCCAACTTTTTTTGTTTTTCCAATCTTTGTTTCCTTCTCAAAGTCCTCTTATGTTTATTACTTTGTTGATGCTGGTTCCATTGAAATTCACCTATAAATATCCTCTCGCAGATCTGTGAAGAAAATATTCTGTGATTCTTCATATCGAAAAATAATCATATCAACGATTAAAAACTGAAAGAGTAACAAGAATTTACATCGCAATAATATTTTTCGGCGTTGCTACTATCGTGAAATATTTGGTTTTCCACAGGACCTGTGAACGTCTCATTTACAGGTTTCTGCTCTGGTTTCTCACCCTTCAATACAGCCTCGATTATTGCCACAGCTGGTTCATAGACACGACTGTTCCACTGATCCACATTTGTGCAATTTAATACATAAATTGGCGGTACCTGCAATTAATTAATTAATTAAGAATTTTTCTCAAAGAACAGTCTATAGATTTATAGATCTTTTATCGGTAAATCGTCTTTAACTAATTGTCACACCATGTAATTAACAATCATATTTCGCGTGCAACAATTAAAACGTAGCAATATTTTGCAGAAGTTAGAAATAAAACTTTTGATGTGAACTTTTGTTAATAATAATAGAAATTCATAAAATTGAAAGTCCCGTTAGAATGAAAAAAAAAAAAAAGTTTCTGTCAATAAACAAGATTTTTGTAGAATCGATTCATACCTGTCTATCACTGCGACGAATCAAGCGATTTTGAATCCATTTTTCCTGCTTCTTTGCGTATCTTTTTGTAACCATTTTTAGATCCTCAATGCTCTTTTGTAACAATTCCTGCCCCTATAAATAAAACATACTCTTCCTTATATATCAGTATAACATAACACGCCTAAACATAATGCAAATTTCATATTGAACTGTTATTAATTTTTACAATTCAGGCAACTGACATACCAGATGCAAGAAGAAATCATCATCATAATGTATCTAGTTTCACACACGTCACCATTCAAACAATATTAATAGTAATAAACTCTTCAAGCATGCATAACTCTTTCACTCTTCTTCAATCATACACGACTCTTCTTTCACAAGTCACATCACTAGAATATCGGCTTCTTTATAAAAATAGTAGTTCCGACTTGAAAATTTATGTATTTTACGTACACTGGTGGAAAGAAATGAAGGAACTCTTATGAATACCATACTTGAATACTTTTATGATTACCATAAGATAGATCAATAAAAAAAATGTAGTTGATCAATTTGGCATCGATTAAGCTCAAATTCAAATAATCCATATAGAATAGTACAAGAGAAATCAATAAAAAATGAAGTTGATCAATCCAACTTCTGTCAGGCTTAACTACAACATTCACAGAGTGTAAGGCAGATCAATAAAGAATGAAGTTGAGCAATCTGACTTCTGTTAGGCTCGAACAACCCCATTTCATGTACGTGTGTATATGAGAGGACTAATCAGAAAAGACTCGCGTTCAAAAGCACTCAAATGAAAAGGATATAACAATGTATTAAAAAAGAAAAAGGAAGAAAGAAAACGAATTCTCCACTCTTCGAGTCGCCACATCCAACAAGATCTTCGAGCATCCCCTTAAAGCTCGCCCCTTCGATTTGCCCTCTCCCCTCTCTATCTCTCTCTCTCTCTCTCTTTCTCTCACCCTTTCTCTCTTTCACTCTTTCACTCCCTTTCTCTAAAAGATATAATAAAACGTCTGGGTCGTGCAACAACGACGCGCAGCTGCGGCGAGGAACGTGACGAACGTCGCAGTTCGCCGCTTCTGCTCACCTTTTTCTCTCGCTTCTCCTCCTCGGGCAGCACGAGGTAAGCGTGGAACTCCTTGAAGCCGATGCTCTGAAAGATGCCCGTCGTGTAATCGGCTGACCTGGAATGTAAACATTCGCCGAATCGTGCCGGCCTCTTTCGCCTCGCTCGCGCCGATTCCATTCTCCACAGCAACATCCCTCTCCCTGTCCGATCCCCTCGCCTGTCCGTTTATGCCCCATTTTTCATCATCCTCCTCTTTCTCCTCTTCTTCCATCCTTCTCTTTTTGGCGCTAATTAATTCTTGCCGACTACTTTGCTCGCGGTTTGCGCGATAATGAATCGTTTCGATTAAATTACAATCTTCTTTGGTCAGAGAGAGTGTTTGGAGTTGAGGGAGTTGGACAATTCAGAGAGTTCGGGCTTCGTTTCGGTTCGTACGGACAGTTTTCTTCAATCATTTGCAACGATTTTTCTGAATAATTGCGAGGTTTCGTTGGTTGAAATATTGAAATAATAATAAGAGAATGGATGGTTTGGTAATAACAGGAGACTGCAGGAATATTAAAAAAAGTAGTGAAAGAGGGATGTTTTTGGTAATAGGAAAGAGCTGCAGATTGAATATTAAAAGCACAAAAAAAAAAAAAATCTGTTTTCTAGATTAAATCAGTATTTCTCGAGATATAAGCATACAATGCCATTTGCAATGAAATCACGCTAATCAATCTGAGTCGCAATTTTATGAATATTATCAATTCTGTATTGAACGAAATAAATGTCACAGAAACGTAAGAGAACGTTAATCTTCTAATTTCTAAAAAAAGAAAAAGAAAACTGAAATACCTAATCTTTAAAAAAAAAAAAACTTCTAATATCCAATTGCTACGGATGAAATTTGCGAAAGTCTATGCTTCATCGTCTTTAACCGGCGCCTTACCAACACGTTCTTTCTCGGTTCACGTTCTCGAGTGGCGATCGTGTCTCGGTCGGTGAGAGAGAGTGAGCGAATGAGTGAGAGGAAACGAGAAAGACTACATTTTACAGGCCAACCGTCTTATCACGGCTGGATGGTGATAGCGAGCGAGGCGAAGCGTGGCGAGGCGAGGCGAGGCCGAGCTTACGTGGCGGGAAAAGTCGGCGCAGCGCGGCCACGGCTCACTTGCTCGCACACGTGTCAATGCCAAATATGTACGTAAGTACCTGCGAGCAGAAATTAAAACCTGACGGTGGTGTGAGTGTGTACGTGCACGCACACCTATCACGCGAATGGTGTTACGATGGAAACGGCCGTTTCATACAGCTACGCACGAGTCAAAAATACGATTAAGAATAGTTTTGGCTAGCAAGCTCTGTACAGTAGTGCGATACACGTGAATTTGTAATTGCCGAAGTGGATTACTTATGTTGTTTTCATGTGGCTAACTAGTGTGGTTTATATCACCTTGGATTTATGGTCGTGGTTTGTCGTGCGAGAATTTGCAACCGGAGGATGCGATTCATTAGACTTTAAGTTCATGTTACGTTGAATGTGGAAAATTCATTTCGAACAGCTTGTTGCTGATGATAGAGAATAGTTAGAAATAATTTTAGGTAAAGTATCGCCGATGTATTCGTAGATTCGATGTCTCAAGTGGATTATGTCGCTTACAAGACTGTGGCTCGTATCACTTGGACTTTTGATCGATCGATGTGTAATCATGGTTTCTTATGGAAAATTCATTTTGACTAAGTATCGTACAATTTAGATTCTATGTATGTAACGTGATATTCCTAAATTTTAAATCTCAATTGTATTATGTCATTTGTATGGCTTTACGTCGTTTAGACCTTGATTTGTTGTGAAATTAGCGTCACGTGATTCTTTCATTTCAGTTCACGAACGTATGTATTATAAAATTATAAGCATTTCAATCGCACGGCGAAATAAGACAACGATCTTGAGAAATTTGAGTTCCAAGAGGTTCACTTTAAAGAAATATTTCTCGCTGCAAGGACGTATTATTTTTCCTGTAATAAATACTTAAATAGACAGTTTACGATATTTTTAGACAGATTTTAGACAACTATATCGGAATGACAACAACATCATTTTTTATCACGATATCATACAACGTGCCTGTCAAAAATACGACACATCACTAACTTCAACACCAAAAATACGGAACCACGTTACAAACGAAGATTAATGGCACCACTAGAAAAAAACTAAAATGAAAAGTTAACATTTTCTCGAAAATCATTTTTCTTCAAAACCCTCAATGTCAGTTTATCTACTCTATACGAAAATAAATAATTACTCTTCGTAAAATTCTACAATTACTTCTTCGTTTCTGACTCTTACAGTTTATTTTGTAACTTGCAATTCATTTGCTGGAAAATGTTATAATCTCTAAAGTTAGATACATTTTGATATCTTCGTATCAAAGTAAATTCAATAAACACGAGTAAAGAAATAACATTTCGACATACAGAGGTATCGAAAGTTGTATATGCCAACGCTGATTCAATGTGAGATCAAATTAATTTAATTGCATTTTTGCCAATTCGATGAGGCTTGAGACAAATTAAAAAGAAATAGCTGACTGAGAGAATATAAAATAAAGATCATTCACGAATAAAAAAGAACATACCGTACGTTTTTGTAAATGAGCTTTTAAATTTAAAGTTTGCTGATTCTATAAAATGATAACTGTCTAGTGTCTAGTCATTTAGATCCCATTAATATCCATGTCATTGCTGAATAAAAACTCCAAACATTTCTATCGTTTGGTAATTATATTTAGTAATTAATCCTAATATCTAATTTCAACTCTAACTTTCCGAAGATAACCGAATTTTGCCGGATTATTTCTAAAATTCTTGGAATCTGTGAAATATAAAATAACAGCACACTTTTGGCTAGCACGAGTTTCTTTTTCTTTCATATTTTCATTCAACATCTTTAATTAACTTTCAACATTCCATACGAGTCTTCAAGTCACACAAAACTTTCGAAAAATCCTAGATAAAAATTAATCGCTTTCCTCCAATCTTTTCCAACATTCTGCATATACAATAAAAGAATCTTTCACCCGCTGTTGTAAACCTAACCCAAACGAATGGAAATCGACCAACCCCGCGACATTTCGATACTTGACATCATTTTAAAACCCCTCTCAACCCTTTCTCTCGCTTGTTGCATCATGCATATATCGAAGATCACGCTAATTTTCCACCGTGCCAAATGCACGTGTCACGCCAGCTCCTGTTCTCAATCGACGATATGGCTTCTATCTAAAAATCACACGATTATTATGATTTTCGACAGAGAGAGAGAGAGAGAAAGAATTGTTACTAACGCCAATATATCGATATCGATGTTCATGCTAGATAGGCGATCGAAAATTAATCAGAAATGCGTTAACATTCTTGCAACGATCCACGATAATTCCGATGCCAATAACAGGTGCGTGCTGATAATGACAACGCCTAAGTACGACGATAGTGGCAAAAGTAATTAAGATAACAGGCGAGTGACAGTAATCATTATCACGGAATACATAAATGCCACCGAACTATTTCTACTACTTGTTGCCAGGCAGGCAAATGAATGTCATTTGCTTCTTTTTTCTTTTTTTTTTTTTTTTTTTTTTTTCACGCGACAAAGGTTATCAGATTTATACGAGATACATTATGTATGTATATTACCAGTTCGTATTTGAACACGTGATAGAAATTCATTGATTTTTACATAATTTTAACGCGGCGACTGCAATTAATATGTTCATACGCCAAGGACATGCTAGAGATCGATCAATAAGTTGAAGCAATTAGTTTTTAATATATTCGAACACTTGCACGCAATTAGTAGAGATACGTACAATTTTATTTATTTGATGCACATGATCTTTCGCGCGGGCTTCTTCTAGTATCGCGTCGAATAAAAGTTTATTATGGCTGCAGGTTTCGTCGTGAAATTCGTCTGCATTGACATTATTTTAACGCGCGTAATTTTATGCGCGTCATTTCATACAATTTCATCGGGCATATCATTTTCCTACTATGTTGCATTTTACGTAACCGTGTGACACCGCAGAGATGTATCCTGTGATACGTCGTACTTACACATCGTCGTGTGAGGAAATGAGAAATTTGGACACTCGAAATTCTTGAAATGCGAAACATTTGATCGTACGAATACTTGAATGTTCGATTACTTAAAAATTCGGAATGATCGGAATGTTTGAATATTGGAAATTTCAGAATCCGAAAGTTTCAATTAAAATATGCAAGTCCAAAAAGTAGAATATTAATATTAAAAGATTCAAAGTGACGAATATTCCGAAACTTCGAAAGTTTCGGAGAAAGTAATTTTAGGAGGCGAAATTAAAAATTCGAAAGTCGAAGATCTCTTAAATTGTCTGAAAATTGAAAAATTCGAAATGTTGAATGTTTGGACACCTCTTCATATATCGTACAAAACGTACAGATGAAATACGATTTCAAGGAAGGGAAAATCATGAAACCGAGAAGATTGAAACTGATCGATTAACTAAACACAACAGTGTTTCTCAAGACGTTTCACATGACGAGAGAAAGATCTCGGAAACGTTACTTAAAAACAGGTTACTTTCTGGTTTTCCTATGATTAATAGTCGCAGGTTGATTTACATTTGCTGCACGCGTCACGCGTTATCAATATCTCATCCCGATTAACAGGAGTATCATGATTAACGAAGTCATTTATAATGAGCGAAAGATATTTAATTTGCATGTAAATGCAAATTACATACGTGGCATTGAGGGATAATCGGACGATCAGATTCACGAGAAATATGGCAAATGGTAACATAGATATTATAACGGGTTTCTTCTTTTTTATTTTTGTTTCTTCGTATATCAATGAAATGCTCAAAATACTCGACGAAGTAGAAGTTTTAAGAATGCACGGAGGAAAATCCGTGTTCTTTTTATATTGTATTCGTAAATATTTCATGCCGAAATAAAAATTCATCTACTCTTCAGGAGTTTAGATTATTATCACGTGCAATTTGAAATTAGTTTTTCAATGAAATCTGAGTCTTTATTAAAGGATTTTTATAAATGTCGAGTTCAAATAAAATCTATTAATTCAAAATTCGA